AATTAGCATAACTTGAGGGATGCATGAGAATACATTTCTAATGATATGTTGGTTTCACAGGGGCTGATGTGATCAGCATTGCTTTGTATAAAGGTCAACTTTAATGTAGCCTATGGGGTATTATGAGGGTACTTGAATTAATTAATACACCACTTTATTCTGAAACCTCTATTAATAAAGTGCATATGCTGAGAAGGGAGCAAACTTCAAATAAAGAATGACATTATACGATGATAGAAAAATAGACGTAATAGGAGAAAATCAAAACAACATCCCTCATGGGCTAATATCGTTTCCCGTGACCCCTGAGAACCCTGTCCTGTCTGAGTGCTGGACTTGAAAAGTCACTTTTGCTTTCACCCTGGTTATGACCAAATCTTTCACTTGCTATTTGCCTTTAACACTTCAAGTAGTTGAAACCAGCTGGGGAAGTTCTCTAATGTGTCCATGGAAACAAGGAACATGATCACATGTGGCTTATCACCCAGCACAGGGAAAGCTTTAAGCCTTATCTCGCCTGAGATTTCTAAATAATGCCAAGGTGTTTAAAAGTAAAAAACTGGTCTTGCTTTTTGTTTTTCCTGCTTAATTTTATTTTTCTTTAAGTCATACAACTTTTTGGATTTATTTAGCAAATTTCATAACTATTTGCACTATACACCACCACTCTCGATATGCTGGCCCTTTAGAAGAGAGCGACAATGTATTTGATAAATCTCAGAAAATCAGGAATTAAGTACCAAGTAAACACATGGAAAATAAGATGATATGAATAGTGTAAGCAACAGGTATGGTAACAGTTTAATTGGACTATATGATAGTTTAGATAGTCCAGTTGCACTATTGATCAGTGTCCAGGTAAAATTTCCTTATATGTAAAGGGGGAATTATTTAAACCTTAGCAGTGTTAGGATGTGGGATATTAATCTGTAGTAAAATCCGTTCATCCTGCATTTAATGCTACTGAACCTTTTGCCAGAGGGTCGTATACTCATTCATTTGAACCTAAATAGATTTGTGTCACTTTAAAAGAAAAAAAGGTCACTGAATGAGACATGCTAAGCCAACTTTCATGCCTTTTGATCCCACTGAATTTCTGACATACAATTTAATCAACACTAAATAACTTTTCAACTTTCATGAAATATTTTCAGAACTTTTGCTATTACATGTCGACTTACAACTAGTTGAATGACACCTCTGTTGTAGCCCGAGGGGGTCTAAACGCTTTCTCTGGCAGCAACTTTCAGGAAGTTGGCAGTATCCCTGCCATACAAAACAACTACGAATGTGCAGACTGCTTTTTGGTATATGTCACTTCAACCTTTCCTCATTTGATTTGACAGAATTTGATGCAACTACGTTTCCCTGAGAGACTATTTGAGCAAATTGTGCAGGGTTGATATTCAGGCGATGCGGAACTTCTGGCGATCTACTCGTGTTTACTATGGTATTATAAAACATAACACTATATGTATATGTTTCAAGGGTCTAAACTAGTCAGCACATCAGTTGCTGATGAGTCGGGTGAGGTGATGGTGGGGGGCAGTGCAGGAAAACGTCACAAAACCAAAGTTAAATGTTTCTTTTTTTTAACATAATATGACATTATTTTGCTAAAGTTAGCAAATCGACCAAAATGGAAACTTCTTTAAAGTTATAGTGGCGGATGTTTTATTTCCGGGTGGATCATTAATAGCAGTGGTCCTCGGAATTATCAATCATTCTGGTGATATGTTAACGTAAGGCCGTCCTACGTGCTCGTCCCCATTTTCGCTCACCGAATATGAGTTTGACATAGTGGAAAAATTGCAAATCTTCTTTTGGAAAGTGAGCTTTTATGAGTGTTCCAAATAGCAACTTTTAAACAGAGCATGCACGAGGAGAAATGGGCTTGTGAATGCTCTCGCATGTGTTTAATAGGTGTTCCCTTTCCTGCCCTCCCCACTTTTATAAAGCGGCCGGTGTTTTCAAAAATATGTGAAAATCCTCCACTACACCTTTAATACTGCTTTAAGAAACTTGCTTTTGAGAGTTTTGACTGATTTGGTGTTTAAAGGACAGATTTACAAAACCAGCGTGTTGATTACATAAACAAGATCACTCAATGCATCTAATAAACATATTTCATAATTAAAAATATATTTTATAATAAAAGCCTCCTTGGTTTAGAAGATTTCAGTGTAATTAAGCTGTGGTATGAGTTTGTACTCTATGGATAAAAATTAACAACTCATTTCTACTCTTTGAGTTTATGCCCGACTGCAGCCTCTGTGATAATGGCCATATGGGTTTTTTGTCTATTTTAAGCATTTATGCCAATGTCCTTCTGCTGATGGAAACTGGACAGTGAGAATATGCCTTGTGTTATGCAGGTCTAAAATGATTTAATATAATGTGTAGTGCTAATTTATGAAACCATAGGACAAGCATTTACAAGCATTTTTTTAACCAACATGCAAGAAAACATGTTCTTTTGTGTAGCTGAATGCTGTCCTCTTTAGGGAGGAAAATATTGGCTCCAAAGAGTTATGATTGAATGTAATGTTTGGAAAATGATTTAGTTTTAACCTTACTGCAGGATGGATGCTCGGAAGAGGTTCTAGTCTGGCTGCAATCATCTTAAAAAAAAAAAAGAAGCAGGTAAATGAAAAAGCTGGGCAGCAGAGCACTTAGAGAAAGTCTTTGCACGGGATCGAAATGGGTCTGGAAAAGAAAAGAAAAACTCAATAAATCTGGAAGCTATAATCAGGTGAGTCTCCTCTGATTACTGGTTCTGAGAACAGAAAACTGTTGGAACTTTAATAGTTTGAATCCAGGCCACACCCCAAAGTAGATGATCTCCATCTTCAAAAAATTACTAAATCACATTCCCAACATTGAACAGGAGACAATTGGAATTTAAAATCAAACAAAGTTAATAATGTATTACCTTGTTTGTATTCATCCGCCCTGTCTATATTTTGTCTGTAGAAAACTATTGTATTTAATTGAAAGAAATCACTTTTCTGTCATAAATCATTATAAATTTCCAAATAATTGCAGGTCACGTCTACTTCGTATTAACTTTTATTTTAGGAGATAATTTTTTTCATCGTAGGCCTGAGTTAGATTTGCTCATAAAATTAGCAAGCCCTGTTTATAAATGTTATTATTCTATTTTGGTTCTTATCTAATATTACTGCCTTAACTCCTGATAGTGTTTTTTTTCTTTTGTTAAGCGTGGTGAGATCATCGAAATACACTTTGAGCTAATTAAGCTAAAGAAAGGAAAAACCCATGAATCACATGTTGATTGACAGCTGAACTTGCTCCCTTCTGCCTCAGAGATTTTTCTCGGCGACATCCCCTCAGCAACAGTCAAATGATGCCTTCAAGGCCATTCTGTAAATCTCACTCACAATATGAAAGAAGCCACATGCAGAAATGAAGGCATATTCAGTGAAATATTAATGCACAACTGATTAAATTTACAATCATATAGAGCATAAACGTATTCTGAAAAGAGAAAGTTTGAAATCTTTGATAAGCTAGCTCCTAATAAAAAAAGTGTTTTTGATTAACCAATCAACATTTAAAAGGCAGTATATAACTATCAATTTAATATATAGCAAAAGAAAAGGCAAAAATTAATTCATGCCACCAAGTTTAATTTATATTAATTAGAATATATGAAAAATACTAATTTTCTTTTCTAAAGCCTTGAGTATAAATAGTAATTGGTCAGTTGCAACTATGTAGGTAATCAACCCCAAGATATTAAAGTTAGTGTTTCAAAAAGATTGAGATCAGACTTTATTTTTTCATAGCTGTGTGGATTAGTGCACCAACAATCCCCTAACCCTAGCTGAGAGAAACTCAGTGAGGAAAT